AATCTGGAAATATATTGTTTGATTTTGGTAGATAGTTTCGGATTTTGCACACTTAGTTTGAGTATCATGAAGCATTCTCGGATGTTGCTTGATTTCAGTATTCAGACATGAAATTTGATATATTTATCTCTGTTTTGAATCATTAAAATTAGTCTATTAGTGTTTATATCTGTTACTTTCATTGGATAAATTTGTGAGTTGAATGTTAATGTCTTTCTAATTGTTTTCTCTTTCTCTCTGTTTTTTGTTGAGTGTCAATGGGAAAACTGCAAGTCCAGAAGGCTATTGGAGAAGGTAAGTGGAGATGGCAAGGATCTGCAAAAGGAGAAGGCTTCTGAGATTTGATTAAAGGTAAATGCTCCATCTTTTGTTATTGCATTGATTGTTTGTTTAATAAATGCATTTTCTGATAAATGCTTGAGTAGATTATGTATAGTGTTAAGTAGAGAGTAGCTAACTGAACATCATAGTTAATGTTAGTGTGTGATAAATGCTTGAATACGACTGATTGCATAAGTACTAAGTAGTAGTAAGTAAACTGAACATCATAGTTGCATAAATGCTCTGTGTCTTAAGTTTTTTTACCATCCAATTGATTGCTTAAATAAGAATCTTTTTTTAACTTGCTGTTTTTTTTTTGTAATCTCTGTTTCATGTTTTGTATGTTCTGTTTTCAATGCTTTGAATGTTATCTGTTTAAATGCCATTGTAGAGAGTTAATAATCTGCGTAATAGAGTGTATGTTCTATGTTTTCAATCTTTTGTATTACAGATTTTAAATTTTTTGTAAAAAGCTTTGTATGTTGATTGGTTTGTATGTAATAAATTTTGTGTAGTAACTTCTTAGTTGGTTTAGATTAGGTAAAGACTTTAGTGTCTTTAGTGTCATTGATTGCTAACACTTAAGACACTTTCACCTTCTTTAAATTGTTAACACTAACACAAACCAGAAACCAAAAACACCTTCTAATTCTCTTCCTTCTCCTTTAACCACAAACCTCAAACCACTTCAGTATTCTCTTCCTGAAACCTTTAACCACAAACCACAAACACAGCCACTACCAAATGGATGATAGTGGGCTGCCGTCTGGTTTCATGGACCTGTTGCATAGTCAACAAGAAGTCCCTGGCTCATCTGAAGTCCCTCTTTATAGCACACAATGGTCTGATGAAGGAAGTGAAGATGAAGCCATTGCCACAGCCACACCAAAGGTGGGTGTCTCTAGAAAGAAATGGAAACCAAAAGAGGATCTTGTCCTCATAAGTGCTTGGTTAAATACAAGCAAGGATCCTATCGTAGGGAATGATCAAAAAGGTGGATCATTCTGGAAACGAATTGCAGCATATGTCTCTAATAGCCCGCAGCTTGAAGGTTTCCCAAAGAGAGAGTCGGCCCAGTGTAAGCAAAGGTGGGGCAAGATCAATGAAATAGTGAATAAGTTTGTGGGGTGTTATGCAGCAGCAACAAATCAAAAAGCATCTGGACAGAGTGAGGATGATGTAATGAAGATGGCACACCAACTCTACTTCAATGATATGCAGAAGAAGTTCTCATTGGATCATGCTTGGAGAGAGCTCAGGTTCGATCAGAAATGGTGTGGAGCACCTACTATTGAAAGCTCAAAAAGAAGAAAGGGTGTGAATGGTGCTGCTCATCCAACACTAAAGCCTAGCAAACTAGTGGTTTAGATAGCATAATCTATATATTATATATATAATTAGAGAGTTCTCTCTCCATCTAGAGTGTTCACCTAAGCAACACTATTTATTTAACATTAAAATAAATTTAAGACATTTATTTAATGCATATTTATGTTACCTATAATTATTAGAAATTTTAAATAAATAAAAAATGAATTATATAAAATAAATGAGATGTTAAAATAATAAAAATAATTCTATGAAAATTTTATTAGTAGTAATAATATAATTCAACTTTTAATAGATAAAAATTAAAAATGATCATACTTCAAATTTTTAAATTTGTTAATGAGTTTTACAATGGAAGGAAATTTTAAATGCATGGTAGAATAAAACTAAATTTATGTAATTCTATATGTAAAATTCTAAACAAGAAATGAAATTTAAAGTGAAACATTAGTTTTAAGAAAAATATACTAAATATATTTATTATTATATTTTGACTTTTAAGAAATAAAAGATTACTAAAATCAATTTAAATTTATAATTTAAGACCAATATATTGTAAGAGTCATACTTTATCTTGTGAGATTATAAAAAAAATCTTAAAAATTTTAAAACATTATTATCCATCTTTTTTAAAAAAATCAATAATCACATTATTCAAGAGTTCGACAACAAAATATACAAAAATGATATGTAAGCCGTTAAAAAAAAAGTGATACGTAATTTGTGTAGCATAACGTGATCAAAAAGAAAAATACAAGTTTGATATTTCATCAATTGAATCAAATGCTTTTAATCCAAAAAATTGAGTATTGAATGATAGTAATTGAGTATTGAATGGTAGTAGTTATGATATGTCTTGAAAATTAATTCACAGTCCAATATATATTATATGTGAGTCAGTAGAAGGTGAAAAGAAAGTAGATGTCAGAGAGGCAACTAGTGTATCATAGAAGTTGACGAAAGAATTGGTAGTTAAAAGTGTTTGGAAAATAAATTTCTAAAACTTAGAAAGATAATGCACATGACTAAAGTAAAATCTTTGAGATCCCATTCATTGTGTGAAACGAATGGATTTTTAGAAAATACATGACATACATTGTTAAACATATTATTAGATTCAAAGTTGGGCTTAACCGTTTGGGCATGTAATCATAAAAAGTGAGATAAGATTGACACATTGATGACTTAGTCGAGAATTCTCTTATGGCACGATGCACTTCCTTTGATGGGTAAAACAAGCTTGCTAAAGCCGTTCTAGTACCATGGTATTATAGATGTACATTTACACTAAATAATATTCATGAAACTCGGTATATTCGCATTTTGTATGAAATGATGTTATGTTTGTATCAACATTTAATCATAAACTAGATTTTAACTAGCGGTACACCGCGGGATGTTTTATTTTTTAGAGTTAATATTTATAAAATTTTGCAAATTGTATCTCCTTATAAAATATTTATATTTTATAGTTTACAATTTTTAATAAGTAACGGTATACCACGAGTCCACGAGACAATTGTTAATAAACTGAAGATTTAACCTGTATTAAAGCGGCATGTTAATGATATTTTAAAACTTTATAAATATTGATTCAAACCCGTCCGCCATATAAACCCGTTCTGAAATATAATCCGACCCGTAATTTCTTAACTCGTCCTGTGATTTTTTTTCTAAAAGTAGTGATTTTAAAATTCAAGGATTATTTTTTATATATAAAAGTTTACAAATTGTATCATTCTGTAAGACATTTATATTTTAATAAACACATGATTTAATATGTATTAAAGCGGCTTGTTAATGATATTTTAAAATTTTATAAATATTGATTCAAACTCTTCCACCATATAAGCTCGTTCCAAAATATAACCAGTCTTGTAATTTCTTAACCCGTCCCGTGATTTGGTTTCTAAAAGTAGTAATTTTAAAAATTTAAAGATTATTTATTATATATTAAAGTTTGAAAATTGTATTATTCTCAAAGACATTTATATTTTATAGTTTACAATTGTTATTAAATAACATTATATCACGAGACAATTTTTGGTTTTATACAATTTTTTCTAAATGAGACTGATTTGATATGTCTAATATTGGTGGTATTAAAAACATTTAAAGATTTAATTCGTATTGAAGAGGCGGATTAATGGTATTTTAATTTTTTAATTATTGTTGATTCAAAAACCTGTTCCGCCAAACCCGTCCCGCCAAAAAAAACCCATTTATTTTATTAATGTTGATCTTATTTATGATATGATTCCGAATCATTGTCTAAATATTTTAGTCGATGTGGAACGTTGAACACACATTTTTCGTCAATTGGATAATATATGTCCGTTTATAAAATTTTGAATCATAGTATATGCAAAATTTTTTTTTTTTACTTTATGTATGTATTATATGATGATTCAAAACAATTAAAAACAAATCAAACAAAGATGATAGGAGAATCATAATTCTAAATCTTAATCAAATCTTCTAAATATCTAAATTATTAAATATGAAATATCCGGTGTATGAGTTGGATTAAATATAATCCGACCCAACAAACTTTTTATGACCAAAATTTGTAAACGGGTCGGATACCCATTGTATCCAAATGCATTTTGCCCCACCCGCTAAGAATGTACTTCAAAAATACTAGTATAGATAATATCTACAATTAGATCAACAATCGATAATTAATGTCAAAACTTTTAAAGAAATGCTTTCATGGAATATGAATAAGAAAGAAACTATTTTAGACATATATGATCATGAGATGGTTGTCGATACCTTTTATTCTTTCCACGAGTTATTCAAGTGATCTTTGTTACCACATGATATATCAAACCATTTATTTGTCAAAGAAACATTATCGTCGACAATATATATGGTGTATATCATTTTGTAAAATAAATTTAGTGTTTATATAAATTTATCTTTTAAATTTTAAATTATTAAATTTATGCTCAAATATATATCTAATAAATTTTAGTGATTATATTTTATGCTCAAAAAAAATTTAAATTAATCTCCCGCGCAAGTATCTACAAGAAGAAAACCAATTTACTAACTGTTTTAATACGTCACTAATTAAGGACCCATAAGAGCACCTCCAAAGGGAGGTTCTCTCCAATTTTTTGATAAGTTCTCTTGATTATTTTGATCAAAAATAATTCAAAACTGAGTAAACAAAAGAAAATCGCTTCTCTTAAGAGAATTTGAGATTTCAGAGAGCTGCATACGTGTCATTTATTGGTTGGAGGAAGCATTTAAACAAAAGAAAAAAAAAAACTCTCATTTGTTTTTTGTTTTTTTCTCTCTCGACAATGAGAGTTTTTTTTATTGGAAGAAGCATTTAAACAAGAAACACGACTCTCTCTCTCTCTCGATCTCGCGATTGCGATCAAAGGAAGTGATGAACAAACGCCAATTTCGTGAGTTTCTGATGAGTCGACGCAGATTTTGTTTTCTTTTTTCTGCGAGCATCAACACTTTTCACTTAATCGCTCCGGCGGTGGCGACGGCAACGTGACGGAGACGTTGTCGTAAAATTAGGGTTTATCTTTCTTGGCTTGTTGTTGTTGAAGAAGAAGGTATGGTGAGGAAACACGGTTGGCAACTTCCCGCTCACACTCTTCAGGTAAAGATCGGATGTAACCTTCTCTATAGCCAAAGCTTCGATTTTCCATGATTGCTTTCTAGAATCTGGTCAATATGAAGTCACAATTGGCTGTGATTTCAATTGGGTTTTGTGTATTTTTCTCTCGGGTGATTGCAATTACGTACGGTGTTTTGCTTGTTGGTGGTCGCTTTCTATGCTTTCTTCGCTCCTTTTGTTGGAGGTCGTATTTGGGAATACGTTTTGATCGGTGTTTACTCTCATGTGGTATGTTTACTGCTTCTCAAACTAGTTTAAAGTTCGGAAAATCGGTTTAGCGACTTGAATTTTAGGATTTAAACCACACACACATAGGTTATAGGATCATTAATTGTATCTTATTACATGTTCTTTTTTATGTATCATGTGTGTTGCAGGCTATTCTTGTATTTGTTTTGTATGTTCGGTGTACTGCACTCAAGCCTGCGGATCCAAGGATCATGTCGATGTTGTGGCAATGAGAGCCATGAGCGAGACGCTAGATGGACCATCTGTTGATGAGAAGAAGTATGAATATTGGAGCTGGTGTTGCTAGTTCTACTTTGGCTTATACTCTTGGAAAGGTCAGTTTTATTTGATTTGATTGCTTACAGATACGAATTAGGTGGTGATAGATTTTGTGGATTTGATTCTGGATTTGAATTGATGATTCTGAAAACAAGTTGTTTCACACAATGCACGAGTTCTTGTGATTTAGTATGGTCAACGATTAATGCTTCATGTTTATATTCCTATATACCATTGTTCTTGTTTCTAGTTTATCATTGGTCTTGGTTATTGTTATATGTCGATTTATCATAGAAGAGGAATGCTCAATGTTTCATGCTTATATTCATTGCAGTATGCTTGCAGAGGACGCTATCAAGTCTGCGGTCAGAGACTACAAGGAGAAGCAAGCAAAGGCTAATGCTAATAGCTAAGCATGTCTATTGACCCAACTCACAAATCTTTTTCTGCATTGTGATTCCTCTTTCTTCAGTGTCTTATGGAATAATTGTTGCAGTGATATTGATAATTTTAATCATCTGATATTAGACATAGCTAAGCAATTCACAAAATAATTATGGTAACACAAGCTTTGGCATGAACATTCACAAAATAAGATCAAGTCACCAATCAGTTTGTATCAGTGATCTTTTTTTCTCTCAACAAAATGAAAATCGTCGTTGATGATACTAAATTTACAGTATAAATTCAAAATATATACACTAGACCTAGTTTATAAATGAAATGATGTATGAAAATGATCTTTAATCTCTAAGAATATGTGGATAAAAATCAAAAACCTTGAAACCCTTAATTAAAGAGAGTAATGAAAAGCTCAAAGCCTTGACTTTGGTTGATCATATATGCAAAAATTTCGCAACAATCAACAGTACAACTAATCGTTATTCCGGTTTTGTTTTTGCACATCTATTTATAAATGTTTTAAAATAATGAATGTTAAATATTTTTATGAATTGCAATAATTTAAGTTTTATGAAATAAAATTTTTAATAATTTTTTTTAAGAAAACCCTACTTGAGAACTTACCATTGGACTATGAAAAACTTTTTTTTAAAAAAGACAAAAGTTCTCATCTTACATTTTCACAAAATTTATACTAAAATATTTGAGAGAGTCTCATGAAGAGAGCTCCCCATTGGAGATGCTCTTAAGATGCTGTAAAAGAACACACACACGACAATAACAACAAAAAAAAAAGATACTACACTTTGAGTATCTCAACAACGTTCTTACCCTTTTCTTAATATTAAACTAGAGAGTGTCCCACGCGATGCGTGGGTTACGCATTCAGTTGTTCTTTATATAGAATAAAGTTTACATTAAATTATATATGAAGTGCACATGTAGTTGTTAACATATGAGAAATTTTTAAAAGATTCATTTATATGTTTTTGAATTATGGAGTATTAAAAAAACACATTACTTTAATACGGTTTTTGAAGATTTTCATTTCAATGCAGTTTAAAGATTTAGAAGTACTTTTGTGAATTATAAAGATAAACTTCATAATCGTTTCTTGGAAATAGTATATATATAGACACTAAATAGTATGTCTTTCTAAAGTTTTTAGTAATAAAACCCCTCAACTAAAGATTGATCGTAAAAAACCCTCTCAACTATATATTTAATGAGAAAACCCCTCAACTTAAAATCTATTATTACAAATCCTTCTCCGTCTACATTTTCGTGAAAAGTGCATGGACTACAATTAAATTGAAATTGAAAACGACATATATACACTTAAACAACATGAATTATAAACAGAAACAACAAAACGTCCTTCGATCCGATTATAAATCCCCAAACCTTAGCTCTAAATTTCTCAAAGTTAAAAATCTAAATGGATGAACCCTAATTTATCATAGTGAGATTCTCTGAAGTTTGTGTGGTGTCGAAATCGATTAGGAGAGTAACTAAGAAAGGTTACGTTTTAAATTGAATTATAGTCCGTCCAATTTTCACGATACTGTAGACGAAGGAGAATTTGCATTAAAAGATTTGAAGTTGAGGGGTTTTTTCTCTAAATATATGATTGAGGAGTTTTCTTACGATTTATCTTTAGTTGAGGGGTTTGATTACTAAATTATATATAGATCACTGCTTTTTCGTAATTTGCACACAACATTTTCAGGTGCAAATGCATCTCTATAGATGCTAAATGTGTAATATATTAACAATTGTCTAGAAACAATAGATTAACCTCTACAATTTAGTTTGTCTGGTGTATGTGTTGTGGATATAATTTTAATACATGCATAAGTTTATATTAAAGTCTTGGAAACTATTATTTTAAAACTAAAGATGTAGTAAATATGTTTTTTTAAGATTTAGAAGACATGATTTTATTAAAAAAAAAATTAAAATATTGCTAATCATTGAAAAATAAGCAATATTTTAATCGCCTTATTTTAGAAGACATGCATAAGTGAATTACCAGACTCGATATGTCGCTTTTCCACTTATATCTAGGCCCGCTGTATAGATTTTAAATTTTAAATTTTTAGTAATTTAAGCATTGTCACATTTTATTGTCAAGAGTCTCAAACCTTGTATATGTCTTTCAAGGCTTTTCATTTGTAGCAAAAAATTTGTAACGCCCCTACCGTAATCTCTCTTAATAGGTCCGACATCTTCTCTCGGCCCGTGGACTCACCATTTTTTTTATGGTCGGTCTGTTACGTCCGGGGCGCTTTAAAGACTTGTTTACCGATTCTACAAATCACCACATGATCCTTCTCTGTGTTTTGTCCCCACTCACACACACAGTTCCGACAATCACTTTTCGGAAGGTCACCCATCCTGAAAATTTCCTAACTTAAGCACGCTTAACTGTAAAGTTTTCTTAGACCAGTTGACCGAAAAGATAAGTGCACTTTGGTGACATAGGTGGCCAAATAAATTCTTTTAAACCTCTCCACAGGCACCACCATATCCCTTAAACCGGGGTGTTATAATTCACCCCCACTAACAGATCGCAACGTCCTCGTTGCGCACGAAGACCGTCACCCCCGGTGGTGTGAGCTCTCTTTACTCCACACTCGTCTGGATTCAGCTCTGAAATCACTTGTAACACCCTGACTGCCATCTTTCTTAATGGGTCCCATGTCCACCATCTTCTGATGGTTGATCCACTACGTCCAAGAGGCTTTAAAGACTTGTTTACCGACCCTAAAAATCACCACATGATATTTTCCTGGGTTTTGTCCTCACTCACACAGTTCCAACAACCACTTTCCGGAAGGTCACCCATCCTGAAACGTTTCCAGCTTAAGCACGCTTAATTGTGGAGTTTTCTCAGGACAGTTGACCGAAAAGATAAGTGTACTTTGGTGGCTAAATCAATTTTTTTAAACCTCTTCGTATGCACCACCATATTCCTAAAACCGGAATGTTACAAAATTTCCCGTAATTTAGATGACCACGATTCTATATAGTGCTGTTTTTCATGTTAATGGCTTTTAACTATTGATTGTTTATTTTTTCACATCATACTTTTGTTGTGTCAAATATTTGTGTACATTTTGGATTCGTTCTAACATTTTTTTGAAAGGATGGAATGTTTCATATTTGTAATTATTTGAAGTATAAAAACATATAAATATCAAAATTATATTTTTTTGGTAATATATAAATTATTTTTTTGATAATTTTATTGTCTCCATTGGAAAAACATAAAATTAGTGATTTGTTAATTATGTTCTTAGAGTAAACGAATAAATAGATGTCAATGCTCTTGACTTATATCAATCTAGAAATTAACTATTCCTTTTGTTCCATTTTTTAAAGTGATTTTAAAATCTTTTTCCATACAAACTATGCATTTTTTCTTGGAATTCTAATATCAAAAGATCAATTATTATCGGAATAAAAATTACTCACCCAATGACAAAAAATATTAAAAAGATAAATGATTTCTGGTACTTTTCAGTGAGGACAAAACACATGAAAATATATATGTAAGTCTCTTTTTTTGTGCGGCTAACATACTCTTGAGAAAAGGAGATGTGAAAAAGAATTAATTATACTCTTAAATCATTGTACTTTTATATTTTCCCATTTTAAATGTCTTATTATATTACTTTAGGACGCACCATTCATGTCCTTAATTTTCAAATGAATGCATACAAGTGAGTTTTAATGATTCCAACCGTTACAATATTAATTACTATCCCATTAAACACCAGTTAACCATATAGTTTTTTTTATTCATGGAAAATTACATGTTAGTTATTTTACAATCAAAATTCAAATAATTTTTGAAATGAAACTAAATGTATTTTCTATAAACCATTTAAATTACACTCCCATAACCCTAATTTTAACAATAATCCCAAAGACAACATATTTTTTTTCTTATAATCCACACAATTTAAGTTCTAGTGTTAAGCTTCATTCTAATAACATCATTTTTATTAAATTCACATTGGGAAAAAAGAACAATAATCTTAAAGCAAAAATTTTGAATAGAATAAACATTACAATGATATTTATATGATTACATTTTTGTTCACATAGTAGCAAATGTAATTATGTGTATAGTACAAATTTTACAGAGAAAAAATAAAGAAATGAAAAGATTTCAAAAAAATGTATTAATTTTGTTTTTTTATCTCTATCACATTTTACATAATTTAAATAGAATACAAAATACATAAATATGTAAGAAAATAATATGTAGTCTATAAATAAGAATTTTATAGCCATGAAATCCTCATTGAGTTATAATACACATATATATATATATATATATATATATATATATATATGTAATTTTTTTTAATAAAAATAAAGATAGAAGAAGTACATTTTTATATCGTTTTAGAAACAAATAAAAACTAAGAAAATATGGTCAATATATACCATACAATCTCTATAAATAAATTAAAAATTCTTACTATCATTATGTCTTAATTTATTTTTCAACCCATTGAAGAAAATAAGAAACAAAGTAAACTTAAAGATTTGAAGTATCATAAAGGAGAATGAGAGAATGATTATTTTAAAAATAAAATAATATAAAGTAGTTGCAATTTGGGTAAAAGAGTATTCATATAAAAACCTTGTTTGTTTCTTATGCATTAAGTGTATATTTCTATTTAGATTTATCTGTTGTGTTTGAAATAAAAAATATTTATACAGAAGTGTAAAATTTAGGATAAAAATTGATTTAAAATATAAAATATAAGAGATCATTGGTCAAAAATACTAAACCATACAAACTATACCAGATCAAATAAGTATTATTTCTTATAATAAACTATACCCCTTGAAAGCAAATTTTTAGTGATCATAAACAAACAAAATACTATTCTTCAACTTCATCATGATCATCATCAGTCATCACCTTCTCCTTCTTCTTCTATTCTTCAACTTCACCATCACCTTCTCTTTCTTTCTTTACTTAACATAACAATAACCAAAAGTATGACTTGTGTTTTATTTGTTGAAGTTTAAACTAATTTTGTTATAACTTATATTTTTCTTCAAGCTTCTCAAACACAATTTAGTTTATGTGAATTTGTAAAGTGGATCAACAGCTTAAGAGTGGCATAAATTTGTGTGTTAATCTGTGATTGAAAATATATATTTGCTATTTATATCGAAAGAGTTGATTAATATTATTAGGGTATATATGAAAAAACGTTAAATGAGTAATTGAGTAGACCATAAAATTTCAATTTTGAAAATGACCCATTTATTATTGAGATCATAATGAGATTTAATTACATAATGTTTAGTCCCAATTTTTTTTTTCTCATGACTATCATACGTTTACAATATTCTTGTCTTTACTCTTTAGGCTCCTTTTTTTCATTTAATTTTATATCTACTGCCCTGACATTTTTTTTAGTGATGGATTAAGAAAAAAAATTAGAATTAAAAAAATGATGTCAATTAAGTGGCCTAATAGATTGCGAGTGAAACTATTTATATATATATAAGATTCTTTAAATATTGATAAATGATACATCATTAGGATATAAATATTCAACTATTAAGAAGACATTATAAAATAGTTTAACAATAACGTTACGTGATTTTGAAAACCTAATAATTTTAAAAATATATGTCGAATGTACCAATAGGATAAGAGAAATATCTCTTTTTAGAACTAAATTAAAAGAGACAAGTTAAAATGAAAAAGGACAAGTGTCATCAAAAAAGAGTGCCAAATGTCGCAATGTTAGGAAAAGTTAGAAAAAACTTTCTCATATTATATAAGATTCTTAAATAAGTAACAACTAGATTAGGACCCGCACGTACGTGCGGGGTTTTAGTAACATACGATTTTCTGAGTATAAAACGTATGTCATATAGGTGTTGAATGTGTGTGTATCAGTTTGAAATTGGTATGATATTTAAAATAAATTTATGTAACAAATTACAGGATTGAATATATTGGTATGGGGAACATAGCAAATTGTTCGAAAATCTGTATTTCGGTATATTTTGTAAAAAATATAATTGGATAATATAACACATTACTGTGTTTGTTTTTTTTAACATAATTATTGTGTTTAATAATTAGTATAGTAAGGAAAAAAATTCTAATCTATATTATTAATTGGGAATCATTGGATAATAAATAACCTTATAAAGGGTAAAGAATTACAAAAAATGCCATTGGTTTATGACAGATATAGGACGGGATATGTTTCCCGTTCTAAAATAGTTACCCCTAGCTAATATACATGAAATAACTAAACTCAAACCGAATCTATATCCTATTTAACACATGTAATCAAACTATTAGAAATATTTTGATTAGTTTAGAAAATAAAAAAATTAACATCATTTAACTTTTGCAACTAAATTATATCTTAGTTTTATCTTAAATATAATTTCGCACGTACGTGTAGGTCCGGATCTTAAAATATAACTATGCACTAACGCAACTAAATTTCGTTTATTACTCTAATTTTATATTATTTGTACTATTATAAAGTTCACTAACACAACAAAATATTTTATATTTTTAAAATCTATATAAAAATTTCTAAAAAAATATCTCTACACGTACATGTGAATCCAAATCTAATACACTAAAATATATATCATAAAAACAACGAAATAATTTATATTGAATTAAAATTTGTTAGAACTTTTTAAAAAATATGAAACCCCGCACGTACGTGCGGGTCATGATCTAGTCTATACTATAATTGGAACATTTTTTGTCACAAACATGGTCACCACGCCTTTTATTCTGTGGGCCAAAATCTCAAACAAAATAATTTTAATGGGCCGTATAATTTTCAATAAATCTTGGTCCATACCATTAAAAATTGTGATGTTTATTATCTGAACAGATAATTGTTCATGATTTGTTGTCTGAAACGGAAGAAAAAAATTACAATCAAAGCAAAATTGTCGTTGTCGGTCGATCGAAGAACCTATATCGAAATCGATTCAAAATCCTCTTAATTCATCTTCGCTTAGACATCATGACAAATTAGTAGATCTACAAAGAGGTAAGCTTCTCTTGTCTTAAATTTTTGTTTGTACTGTTTTAAAATCTGTCTATTAAGTTTCTACAATTGATTTTTTGGTGTATCATTATAGATCTGATTCACTTCATTCGTCTTCGATTATACTTCATGGTTTGAAAATTATTAGATCTAAAAAGAGGTAAGCTTTTCTTTTCTTTGATTTTTGTTTCTACTTCTTTTGAATCTGTCGATTTAGTTTCTACAATTGATTTTTTGTGTTATATTATTCATCTTGTTCAACGATTTTGAATAACCCAAAGAAATTTGATTAACTATTACCCTTTCATATCTAATTGGTTGCAACTGAATCATATTTTGCTTCGTTTAATTTAAACATGTTAGTTAGTGAATCAATCTGTTTCATCAAATTCATAGTGTTAAGAGACTAAATCAAATCAATTTTAGTATAGCTTGAAACCTGTAAATCTATAAACTTATTTTTGTTTTTATAATTGTTTCAGATGATTAGCAATATTTTGATGGATTCTCAAAAGAAGAAGACCAACAAAGATAAGTTCTTTTAGTAAGATTATTATATAACGTGAGCACTTGATTTGAAGAAGCTACTGCTTCATTATTCTTTAGCTCAATGTTATATTCATTATACAAAGTTCACTGTCTGCAGGCGAAGTATCATTTTGCGCCTCTAATTCTTATGGAGCAGAAGCAGTAACGGTTTAATTTAGAGCATTCTTGAAATGTAAAATCTCACAATCCTTTAACTTAAAACGACAATGTTACTTAGTCTTTAGAATGATTTATATGGTTGTACTAATGAAACATTTATAACTGTTAAAAATCTGCAGACCAAGGATCAGTTGGGAGTTGGAATCTGATGGAGGAAAGAGTTTTGGTTTTGTATTTGGAGGTTTGCAGAGACTTCAAATTTAAAAGGTTAGTAAGATATTAAATGAGACATATCACTTTTGAATTTGAATTCTTTACTCTCTTATTTGTAAGATAAGTAGAACTACTCTACTGATTTCCAAATTAGGTTGAATAAGTGTAGTTGAATTACTTTCAAATGAAATATGTCACAAATTTTTACAAAGTAATTTGGTTGCTTGTTATGCTGTTTAAGCTTTATTCTATATTCGTTTGTTGATTGAAGCAGCATGTTTTATGATTTTCTATATTATAATTGATCAGACTGTTTGGTTAGCAGTAATAAACCTAACTACTTATAAATATGAAATAGTTTACTTCATATTACTGAATATGATGGTATTAGGACAGAAAACTTTTGAAAAACAAAGTTAAGCTGTTATAGGTAATAGGTAAACAAAGTTTAACATGAAAATAACAGAAGAAGAAGGGTTGGGTATCAGTTCTTCTCTGCAAACTTAATTAACTGATTCCTTTACTTGCCAAACACACGTTTTCATATCTCGTTTGACCTGTTCAGACATAAAAAGAGCAGTAATTATTATTGTATAACAGAGATATATCAGAATCATTTCTTATCGGTTCTTACCTCTTAGAACAAATGTCTCTTCCAACGCTTAGTCTTATAGATTCTGAAAAACTTCCTTAAACACCACATTCATCGTTTCCTTCTGCGGTTTTCCTTCTTTATCCACTATTAGGATTTTCAGTCCTTGCTTTGAAGTTACCCTTGAGATAGCTACATAGAGTTGGCCATGTGAAAAGCATGGCCTGGGAAGATAGATGCCAACATGATTCAAAGATTGCCCCTGGCTTTTATTAATGGTCATTGCAAAAGCAACTGCTATCGGAAGTTGTCTTCTTCGCATTTTAAAAGGAAGTTTAATGTCTGATGGAGATATCAATATCCTGGGAAGGAGAACTTTATCTCCAACTCTATCACCTGTAATAATGACAGCCTCAATAATTTTGTCAGACATTTGTGTTATTTGAAGCCTGGTGCCATTCATTAACCCTCCTCTTGGATCTAAGTTTCTTAGTAACATCACAGGACAACCAACTTTCAACCTTATACCATGATTTGGTAATCCAGATACCTTTAGACTGTTCAAAAACTCTGATGTTATAACTGGATTATTCTTACCTCCAATATCTGAAGGATCTACAGAATCAGAACTTAGGTATAATCGTTCCTCACCTACACATAATTTTAAATTGACTTTAACAACATATTTTTTTCCAAAAGCTCAAAAAAATTAACAGTAGTGGATACTAACCTTCCAATTGATCAAGCATATAATCATTGATCATACCCACATCTTCATTGGTGGGACATAAAATCGCCCTCTGTTGAAAGAAAACTGGATCGTTTTTGTCCTTCAATAACTTAGGATCTCCATAAACTTCCCTGCTTATTGTCTCAATTGGATTGTCAGCATCTGTGATTAAAAACTCGTCGGGAATTTCTATCATCACTTCTCCATCGTTAGGCTGTGCTATCTTACCATCACCAACTGCAAGAATCCACTCTGAAAATTCCTTTAGATCCTTGGCTTCAGTTGGACTCAAATCATTTGAAAGTAGCCTCATATTTTTTGTCAGCTTCAGAACTTTGCAATGATTCCAAAGATAAGAAGCATTAAGTGCAGCCATACAAATTTCTGTCCTCCCAGCACCATGTATCACAGGTAGTACCTGTCTGAAATCTCCACCAAAAACAACTACTTTGCCACCAAATGGTTTGTTTCCACCTCCTTTAATAATGTCAGAGAAACTCCTATCCATAGATTCAAAACAATGCTTACTCATCATTAGAGCTTCATCCCAAATTATCAAAGACGCTTCTTCTATTAATTCTGCCTGATTTGAACCTTTCTCAATATTACATACAGTGAAGTCGTCAGGATTTATTGGAATACCAAACCGAGAGTGCGCTGTTCTCCCACCAGGTAAGAGTAAAGAAGCAATGCCACTGGAAGCTACATTTAGCACAATTGAACCTCTAGATCTTAGAGAAGCTGAGAGTGTCTTATATATAAAAGTTTTCCCAGTTCCACCAAAGCCATAGACAAAGAAGACACCTCCCTTGTCATTATCAACAGCATCGATGATCTCATTATAAACACTCTTCTGCTCATCCGTCATTTTCTGCAACGATTCTTCTAGTTTTTCCTTTTGTTCATTGCGATCATAGTTTTTTTCGTCAAGTATCAAGACGTTACTATCATCAATTTCATCATCAGGTAACTGAGGCATTGTTTTGAAAGCTGTTAGAGATGTTCCATTGCTTCTTAAGATGCTGTTGATTTCTTTTAAAGCCAAAATCTGTTTTTGCTCGTCCGTAAGTGTTAATTCTGCATGTAAAAAAAAAAACAAACACGGTCATAAGAAAGACATAATAATCATGTCTTAGCTGGTAACCATTTTTAAAATAACAACTGTTTGAATATATAATAGGTATTGATTTAGAGCTGCAAAATAACCTGGTCTGTTAAAGTACACTCTCCTGTTTCTTTCGATATCTTCTGTTAGATGTTCCCATGTTTTTTCCCAAACTACTTCTGGTTGAGATAAAGTGGTAGACTGGAGCATAACAACAAACATACAACGCAAGTAGTTACCAGTAGCCCAGAAACTGGTTTTTTTTATGGTATCAATATACTCCTGGTCATCGTCTAGCAAACCCAAAGCATAACATGTCTCCTTAAAAGATTTGTACACTACACCATTAACTGTCTTTAGATCTTCAAAACTTTCCGGTCCAGTTTGTGTATTAAGAAGCACTCTTAGATAATAACCTTCTTCGTAAATAAGTGGGACATAATTTATCCTTCCAAGTGTCTTCCCTGGTCGCTTCCTCATATTGAAATGTCTTGTTTTACCATCCCACGTGTAAAATTGAGGAATCTGAGTATACGTGAGACCTTTGGCTTTAGGACATCGTTTATTCAATTCAAACCAAGCAAGAAACATCGAATTCTGTAATTCTGATAGTTCCAAAACTGTTTCTACCTCATCATCAGCTTTAAAATATAGTAGTTGTTTTCCTGGTAGATGGAACGATAATCTCTGAACAGATGTTGACCGATAATGTATAGGGTTTTTCAAGATTCTCCATCCAGCTTCACATGCTGATACATATCTGTTTTCAAAGCATAAAACATGTTAGAGTTTGAAGTCTGATATAGATAAAGCTAATGTAGAAAAAAACATTTTCATACCTGCAATTGAAGAAGTCTTGTATCTCATTTTTACTTGTTTCTCCGCTACTCTGACTATTAGGCTTCTCTTTCTCGGTTGTAGTCTTAGTAGACTTTACAGTAGGCTCAACAACTACTGAAACTCGATCCATCCCTTTAGTTATATACTTGAATAAGTACTTGATAGAGCCAGTTTGGTTACACCACTCAACATTAATATGAGCTCTGTAGCGAAGCAACAACTTTTTGTTGTAAGGAATCACGTATCCATTGTCACACTTAAATCCACACTTCTCCACAAAACGCTTTGTCTTTCTTCTTCTGTACAAAGGGAAACCTTCTTTATCTACCTTAGTATGATCTCTAAGTTTCTTTGGAAAAAACTTAGAACATTTGCCTTCAATCATACATGGTGAAAACTGGTTGACAACGCCACATGGTCCGTGAATCATCATATCTTTAACAACTTCATATAGTTCCGGTTCTTTATTCTTGTCAGGAATTTCAGCAGAAATGATTTTATCTATGTCTTCTGGCTTTGGAAATTTAGAATCTGGATGCATCCATATCAAAATATGTGCATGAGGAAGACCCCTTTTCTGGAACTCAATTGTATACATTGCTGCAATAACCACATTGACAAATAGAATTAGATCAACCTCAACGTAAGATATTATAGAAAACGGACCATACAAATATTGACAATAAACGCATAAAACAAAATTATTCACTTACATGAAACAGTCTTCCCCAATATATGCTTTTTCGTCAAATCATCCATAAGAGAATTCAGCTTCATTTTGAACATTCTGCTTATGATCTCTGGCCTATCATCAGAATTACAGTTTCTCTCACTACAAAATCTTACCAGCTCAGGCCATTTTGGATTGCACGTGAATGTAATGAATAGATCTGGAAATCCATAATGATTGCATGTAGACATTGCATCCATGTACATGTTCTTCATGTATCTTGGTCCACCAACAAATGTAGCTGGTAAATAAAATGCTTTTCCTTCATCATTCATATCTGTCTTTCCTGAATTTGCCGCCTCTTTAATAGAATCATAGTTAGAAGCTCTCAAACTTGACTGATTAAGCTTAATATATTTGAGCCTATTAGCTTCTATGGTGGTGTAAGCATCAACCAAGAACTGCTGGTACAACCGTTTTGACCTTAGCAGGATAGTCGGTTCATTCTTTCTCTCTTGTATACGATACGCATACCATTGACGCAAGCTTATGCAACTATTCTCCTCAGTTCCTTCGGGCTTGTTTTTCTTTTTACCATGATTATTCCCTTTCTTAATACCTGGCCTATAACCATCCTCACCATTTGGAAATAACAAAGGGTATTGTAGAGCAAGATAACATGGTTCTATTTCACTGATTCGTTGTAAATACCCAGATTTTTCTTCAATAATAATGTCACGACTTGGCATACCAATATGAAAATCACCTGGAATAAGGGCTGCAACCTCTGAAGCTGTTGGCACTGCATATGTTCTTCCATCTTTCACACGGTCACTCACAATTTTCATGTGAAAGCTCTCTTCAGGATTTGTATTAAACCTATCACGAGCTTGTCTAAAATGATCAACGTATGGATTAACTTCATTTAGAAGCTTGATTATGGCTTCAATTATTTCTTTTCTCAGCTCTGGCTTCTTCTTATATTTCCCAGCAGATTTTCCTTTGCTGAAATAGAAATTTAAGTTAGCAACGACACTTATATGTACAGACCAAACACGAAGTCTGGATACTGTGATTGCTTGTTTTGAGATAGAGAATGTACCTTAAAATTCCGGCTCTATTTTCAACTTCATTCTCGGTGTCAACTATATATAGCTGACTAAACTTAGGAAATTCACCTTCTCCAGGTTTCAAACTTCCCATCTGGTGGTAATTCTCTCCTTGTATCTGAAACATATTAGGACCCTTTCCCAAAGTAACAGAATTATCACATTTACCACCAAGAGAAGTAAATGAAAAAATCATGTTATAGGCTCGGATGTTCTCTCTAAAGTGTCTACTCATGTCATCATCATTTGTTAGCAAAGCAAATAACAATTCTGGCTGATTATGGAGGAAAGGCAGTTTGACCGATCCTTGCAAACAACATTGTGTAAAAACTGGTTTACGAACTTTCCTTTGTCTGTTAATTCGTTCTCCGTACCACATAATAGCACCACAATACGAACATGAGTAGACAGGATCTCCATGATCTAGGTAATCTAAAATAACAGAGATACAATTTAGTTGATGTAAACTTCTACTTTAAGAAAAGATTCAAAGTTTATCCGATTAGATAGTACCTGTTTGTTGTTTCTTTCTGCTAGAAACGTTTGTAGTTTTTTTTTCTACAAAAGCTTTAGTCAAACTTTCATCTAACAATGTTAAAAACTCGTATCTTTGCTTGACTTCAATTGGAATATCTTCTATGCATTCATAATCAACTGATGCTTCAGAATCAGTGTCATATGCACTACTACAATCGTAAACCTGTTCAAGTTTTTCCTCCGCAGCTCCTATATAAATAATAAATTGATTAGTGAATGATTGGCTGGTTTAGATTTATATCATCTGAATTTTCACTTACTGTCATTTTGATGATCAGTCATATTAATTTCGGCTTCTTCTTCTGAATGCAGGACTCCATCAGAGTGTCCTTCACTACTTCCTAAACAACTCTTCTTTGTTGTTTGTTTCTCTTTTGACAAAGACTTGGCAAACCTCAAAGAGTTTCTTGGATTTGTAAGTATAATACCCTTAGTAGCTACAGTCAAATAATATTTCCATTAGTGTTCTTCAATAGAATTTCAGTGTATTCATATTGAAATGACTACAAACTTTTTCTTTTATTGACATTGCATGTATACCTTTTTTGCTGTTAACAGATGGAGGACTCAACTTTTTTGGATTCTTTTCTGGCACCTTTTTTGGATCCAGAGGTGTTTGGACAACCTCACTGTCAGGATTTGTTGTGTTTGTAATATTCTGCAATACTTGAGCAGGTCTGATCTGTGTCCTTGCATTTTTCTTTGCTGATCTTAGAGAATTGGTAGAAATAACTGTAGATTCATATCCTATACAATTATATGGATTAATAATAGAATGATATTGTTTAGTTGAAACAAAATAATCAAGAAACTAACCGGTTTCATGTCTTCTCTTTATAGAAGAAGAAGGAACAACAACAGTAGAAGCAGAGACTTCATTTTCATTGCCTGGTATGTTACTGATTCCTCCTAACAATCGATTGAAAATTCCTTTTACTTGAACATTACTGGTAGGACCTTCATGATTGATATTTGGGTTTCTGTTTTCATCATTGTGGCGAGACCTAGAACGCTTTGTGTTATCTGTCTGCATAGAATTGCTATTTTCATTAGCACACTCATTTTTTCTCCTTTTCATTCTGCAAAACCTTTGAAAATAACCTTTGAAGATTTAGATTATTATATATGTAACTATGAAGTGATCAAAGTTTCAAAGATATCTCTGTGTAGACGATAGCCAAAAGTTTATTAATTATATGTTAATCTTAGATCAAAATCGAATCAATAGTATTGATTATGATTAAGATAACAGAAAAGATTTCATTTTGATAACTCAGTATATCGAATTTCCTAATGTTTAGGTGATAAGGTAGTATTTCCTCTAACAAATATATAGGCAGTAGGTATTAAATTATGGTATCCAAATATTATGTTGCTTTTGTAATTTCTTAATAATCAAAACTTTGTTGTCGTTGCTAACTTTTATATGATTGATTAAATTGTGATTTTCTTTAGAAAAGCATTTTGTTTTGATTGAGAAATAAGCTAAGGCTTTACTATTTCTGTGATTTTGTATATTGTATTTATTGAATTTCATGGATGGCTTGTTCATATATATATAGATTTATATATTTATATGATTTGAATTTTTATTGCCTCCAGGATTACTGAAGGTAGAAATTGCTTGGAAGTGGACCTTATTCATGTATGAGAAAGATCTTTCAAGAGGTTAGTAAACTCTAAATCTGGAAGTTTTTATTGAAATGAAAATAGCTGGAGTAGCAAACATGAATCAAAATAACTGAATAATTCTGGAAAGAGGAAAAACATAAAAACCATTGAAATAGAACAACTTCCATGCATCAAACCCGCAACACTTTAGCATAGCTCCCTAAATCTAATTAGGTTCAATTTTCTCCCCTTCCACCTTCTCCTCTTCAATCTTCAATACTCCAATCTTCTGCTTTTCAATCTTCTCCTCTTCAATCTTATCCTCTTCAATCTTCTCACGAATTGAAGATACACAAACCTTTTTGGTAGTAGAAGACTGCCCTTCAGCTTCGTCAGAACTTTCATTACTTCTTTTTGAAGAAGGAGTTGCAGAAGAAGTAGTGTTTACATCTGTTGTGTCACTGCTATTAGTCAAAGCAAGAGCTTCCTGTTTCAAACCAGTGACCATCTATATATTAGTGAAAGTTGTATATAAGAGATTTGATGCCAATAGTCATAAAAATTTCCAGTACACTATTTGATATTAGAAAACAATAGGTGGTACTCACTAATCTTTGAATAAGATCCTGCCCTTTAGTGATATAGTTGAATAAGTATTTGATAGAACTTGTTTGGGTGCACCAATTGTTTAAATTACCTGATCAATAGACAGATCATTAGCTTGATCAATCTGGTTCTTGGATTCTTCAACATTATCAAGATCGTATAAATCATTACCCAACCAGACGTTAAACACTTTGTATGTGTCATCTGTTTCATTGATGTTCTCCTTTCCAATACTGAGCACAAACTGGAAAGTCTTCCCAACCAAATCTTTAACAGGTCCAGGCAAATTAGTTGGATCTTTTATCTGTTATGTCAAGCATGGTAAAATCAGTATTTAGGAATTATAATTTAAAATTCTTTTGATAATAACTTAATGTAAAATGTTACTACCTCATCCCAATTCCCTTCCAAAAGATCCTCTGCAGACACTCCGATGATCTCAGCTGCTGTTTTGTCAAACAACTTACACATAGTATTTCCAGTGTTATCATCACTGCAAGGTTTAACATGTACCTATATCACAAAATTTTAATATAAAGGAGTTAGAAAGTTTCTTATAAAATATCGTGTATCCAAAGAATATAAATATTGTAGTTACCTTGGTAAGACCTTAGGAGTATCTTCTTTACATGTTGGACACCAAAACAATGGCTTCTTCCCTTTTTTGACAATCTCATTTTCAATTTTTGGTATCTTATACGCTGTCTTGCTACACTTAAGACAGCTAAAGAAATACCAAGCATAGTCTGTGTCCACTTTCAAGATAGTACAAATAACATTGCACTTACCAACCTAGACACATAGTAGAAACATATTAGTCTTTATATTTAAATATATAGATTTGATTTCAAAATCTATGATAAATACTTACTTCAGTGGCTTCAAAAACTTCAGAAATGGTTTTCCTGGGAAAAGTCTGAAAATATGCCTTCTTCTTAATGATTTTGGTATCCTTAGGCATCACTTCTTGAATAGTAAGTACAGGGACGTCTGCTGGCAAGCTGTTCAATGTAAGATAAGAGAATTAATATAAGTAAATACGTTAGTAAAGCAAATATTAGGTATATTTTAAGTTTTTTCAGAAACTTACTTGTTCACAAAATCTTGGACAGCAGGATAGTTTGGATTTATTTCCAACAAAGACATGTCAAAGGCATTTGAAATAGATCTTTCGCCTATTGAATTTGCAATATATTAGTAATATCTAATAATGTAATAAACATATTAAGCATCCAAATGTAAATAATCCAAAACAATATACCTTTGAATGAACCAATTTTAGCAAGGCGAATCAAACAAATGACCCTTTCATTGCCTCCATTTTGACATGCATCCCACATTCTCTCAGCAAACCTCCCCCAAAGAGTACATGTCAAGCGTTCATCACTATAATAGATAAATGATAGATTTTGTATTAAAAAATAGACAGTTGTTTGAAAAAAATAATAGAGTAAATAGATCACAAACTTTGTATCACGCAGTTCAAACTCAAATCTTTTGGTGGCTTTGTTGTTGACATCGTGAGTTGTCATCTCACCTAAACTCACGACCTGACCAAGAACATCTGTAGAATATATGAAATGGTGTTAGATTGCTATTTTTTTGCTTTAAACACTATATACAGAATTAGGAGGAATGAAAAATACCAATCAAGATGTTTTCATTCAATCCATTAACATTCAGAATGTCTGGAAAGTTAGCAAAATCAAAGTAAAACTCCTCAGAAATAGAAGGAATACGACTTATAGCAGTCGTATTCATGAGGGTCATCTTGAATGGAAGTCTGGTTGGCCGGTACTTTCCAGTAGATTTTGCAACTGTGAAATTTTCCACAGTTCTCCACTCTCCAGTTGTGATGAGCCTTTGAAATTTGTTGACTTGCTGTTTCTTGATAGTTGCATGAATCAAGGTACCCTGTATTTAGCAAATTAGGAGAATTTAACATTAGATGAATACATACCCATTAAAAGAGTAAATCTATACTATTGGTAAAAAGATACTTACAGTTGTATCAGCAAGAACCATCTCGAGAGTCTCCCCAGAATATTGGGTGTATTGAATCCACGAATGGACGATTTTCACTTGGATCTTCCATTGAGTTTTGAATGGTTTCACTGCATTAAGTTCGGTGATGGGAAGAGCCATTTTTTATTTGGTATAGAGGTGGTTTGATAGGTTATTGAGTATTGAGAATGTTGTTTAATTTCTATATTTATAATAGATAGAAGACGTTTAGGGTTGCTTAGGATTTAGAGAATTATCGCCTAAGAAAATATTTGAGAATAAGAATAGTTATGGTATATGCTTAATTTATTCCGATATGAATAGATAGAGTTTGTAGTTTTTGGTATCAAGGATATCAAATATAAAGAGATAAGTTTAGTTTTAATCATCTGATTATATGGGATTGAGTTGTTGTGGAAATATCGGTGAAGAGGAGAATATATATGTTTGTTTGTTAGGGAAATATTTTGCTATGCACGAAACTAATTGTGGTAATTTGAATTAATGCAGATGTGAGTACTAAAAGCGAGAGAAATTTATTGGGCCATGTCGACTAAGCCCAGTAAGCTGAATTTATTGGATCCGAATCATGGCTCCAAGATCCGAATGTAGATCCGCGTGTAATTGTCTGCAAATTATCCATTATGCCCTTTGACGAAATCTGTAATGTAATCGTAGGTTGTAAATTTTCCAATGGCAATTTTAGTAATTTTTTACACTTTATAAGGTTATTTAAGTTAGAATGATTCCCAATTAATAGTATAGATTAACTTGGCCGGCGGTGATGATTAACACAAACATCATGGTTAAACATAATTATTTTTTCACCCGCCAATATTAAACCAAATCAACAAGCCTTAAGCGGAGTCCCACAAAGACAGAGGTTATGAGAGTAGGCAGATGGTTCAAAGGTCTGAAGTCGACCGCCACTTGGGATTTTCCCGCAGAGACTATTGTAGCTCACGTTGAAACGCTCGAGACTTCGTAGGGTAGTCAGTACCCGAGGAATCTTACCGAAGATTCGATTTTGGCTCAGATCCAACGTAAGTATGCTCCTAGCGAACTCAATCTTGGAGAGATTGTTGTGTATCGACGTTGTATCTCCGGGACGTAACGAACGTGAACTTGGATAGAGATTGAATCGCGCACGAGAGCACTTTCCTTAAAGAGTATTTCGACCCTTCTCAAGCCTTGGGTTACACGAAATCCCTTCTAGGATAAGACAATCAAAGTTCTCTCTTGTTCTAGGCTAAGACACAAGAGAAACAAATAGAGCTTTTTGTGTTTTGTTTTTGTGTTTTGCACTAAAGATTAAGACAATCTTTAGTCTCGTGAATCTCTCTTTTCTCCTCTTCTTCTCTTTCTTTGACACAAGAGAAACAAAGTTTATATATGGTTCAAAAGTTGTGACGTACGTTTGCAACCGTACGTTTAAATAATAACCATAAATTGAATAGTTGCAATGGTTAATTTAATAACCGTCGGTTTACACTTAAATTTATAACATTCCTCCCCCATTTAAGTGTAATCTTTGATTCACAAAATTAACAACACATAAACCAAACTCATGCATAAATGTAAATATCGTAACGATTGAATTTACATCTTAGTAATATTACACATTCCAAATGCTCGAGAATCAAGATGTCCTACGGATTGAATCCTTCAACTCATTTTGAGCACATGAAGATAATACACACACGAATTCACTCACTACTCTAAGTGTTTATCCTTGACACTATTATAAGCCATGTGTCCTTATCCTTTCATGAGTGTGTACAAAGCCAAGTCCGAGCTTCTTGAAGCGGCTACACTTCACACCCATATAGGTAGATCTTTTAATCTTGCACCTGCAAAATGCAATTTTTCAAAAGATCTATTAAGAAGAAAACTTCAACCTAACCTTTTCTTGCAGATCTAAGCACTTACTTTGGGATGATTTAAACTAGTGCTTCAATCTCTAAGTGTGGGCTTTCCGCATTGAATTCAGCCTCTAACGTTGTATTAGAGGGGAATTGGGTATCCCACCATTAGAGATTTCAAATGGACTTTAATCCCATCCCTTTAGCCGACTTGATCACCAAGTCTCTAGCTAGTCCTTTTGTCAAGTGATCCGCTAGATTTTGCTCAGACCGAATAAATCCTATAGTAATCACCCCATGAGTGATCAGCTCACGTATCCCGCTATGTCTCAAGCCTAGGTGTCGCGACTTACCGTTATACACTTGGCTATAAGCTTTAGCCAAAGTAGCTTTACTATCGCAATGGATAGAAATGGGTGACACCGGTTTCGGCCACAATGGAATCTCGGAGACTAAGTTTCTTAACCATTCCGCCTCTCTCCCTGCAGCCGCTAACGCTACAAATTCCGATTCGATAGTGACTATCCGCAGCATTCT